AATGCTACCGTGTTGTAGGTTTTTATGGCAATAAAATGTAGGTGTATAAGCCATGATACCGTGGGTTCCTGTGAGTCTTCAATACCAGCCTAATCCTGCCTAATGCCTCCTTTAGTCACCTTTAGTGCACTATTAGATGGTAAGGTCCATTTGCATGGAAGAAAGCACATTTTTCACTTTGATCATCTTAGTAAAGGCAATGCAGAAGTTTCAGCTTATTTCAGACAATTCTATACTGTACCACGTGACTATAATTTAGGATTTCATTCCTAAACAGAAGTAAATTATTCCCAATTATTCTTGCATGGAAAAGCGCTGTCACATTTTTCAAGTGGCATCCTGTTAGGCCTGTGGTTCTCTTCAATCCTCTACACAAAAATAAACTAAGTATACTTGCTTTGTGCATTTTTTCTTCTGCTCTTAAGATTTGGTTATCCTTTTAATTATAGAAGATACACACTTACGGAGTGTGATCAGAACCACGGAAGAAAGGAAAAGCCTACAGTGTCTTCTTCATACTTGCTCCAATCTCTCAGCCATATAAACTAGCTCACAAATCCTTTTAACCAAGGTTTCCAATTTATCTTTGCAGTTCTATCAACTTTAAGTTGTATTCACAATGCCCAGAAAAGCAGTACAGACCCATGCAACATTAACAATGATTATAAACTGGGGGGAATTATAAGCCAATGGGGATGTTCATAACATAAGGAGCATATTCTCTATCTATAATAGATAAAATGTGTTATTTGGTTTATTGCAATATTGAACTTTGATAGGAAAGTTTTAAAAAATCAATTGCTTTATAAAGGTAACTAAGTATGTTTTCCAAAGCATCTGTAATTCAATCTCTTCACAGGCATCAAGAAATCATTGAGATAAATAACATCACTAATTTCCATTAATGTAAGACATAGTAGAAGCAGACATTGGTAGGAAAAACTAGCCAGGGCAAGTTTCTCTTGCTTTAGACCAAGGACAATAGCTCTTTATCAGGCTTTTGCAGGCATAAAAAAAAAAAAAGAACTAGAAGATAAACCTAAGCAAATACAAAATTTAGAGGAAATTCTTAAATCACCTATTGAAAATTCAGGAAGGAGTTGGACCACACATGTTTTTCAAAAGTAAATGGATTGGTAGAACTTTTCACTCTGTTCTCACTGCACATGGAGCCATAGTCTGCATGGCATTATCCATGCATTCTTAAGAATTCAGTACCTAATTTAGATAAATACACTCTAATTTTGCTATCCTTGATTTTTTTTTTCTTCAAATAAGAGTGTAGTTCTGAAAAGAAATGCTGAGAATTTCAAATCTGCTTAAAAGTGAAACTCAACAAAATCATCCTACATTCGGAGCTTAAATTTATTACAAGGTTATCACCTCAAATGGCTAACATGTTTTGTTTTGTTTTTTTACACTATCTAACTCCTCCACTTCCCTAGTGTTTATCAAAAATTTTCACATACACAGAAATAAAGGCCAATGAATAGGACTCTTTCAACACAAAAACTGAATAATGTACAAATGGTTCCCAGGCAGTTATGGAAAGGGATAATAGTCATAAGACATTAGAGACATTTCCACCTAGTCTAGTTTTGTCATAGTATAACCTGGAACAGCTGGTTACCTCTTTTGAACTTTTGGGATCTTACAGGAATATTCTATAGCACTTTATAATAACCAGTTCATAATTCTCCTTTTTATCAAAGGAAAGCAGTATCTCTGGGATGGGGCAGGGTCAAGAGAAGAAAAAACGACAGAAGACTTTCCCTATTCAGCCCCTTGACTCCACCCCACCCCAAGCTCCTTTGTGCCTGCTATGGTTCATTAACCAGGTCCCCAAGGAAATCCTAGGCATGGGGAGCCTTTTATTAACTACTTAAACTTGGCAGCTATACACCTGAAATGATCACTTCAGGCTATTAGCTCGTAAGGCAATGGAATCTTCCATTGGCTTTCATCCATGTATTCATTCTATGAAAACAGAAAGCCTTACTCTGCCCAGTTCTGTGTTAAGCATTGGAAATCTTAATATGAAAAGAAAATGAACCTACCTGATTCTTCTTTATAATTTCACTTCTAGGGCTCTTATACCTCTATGTGATAACCACATAGTGATAATTCCTTGACTATAGTTCCACCTGCTTCTGAAAACCTCTGGGTTGGACATCTTTGTCCTCAAAGAACCTTAGTGGCCAAGGTTTACGGTCATTCAGTTTTTCTCACTTCTGTCCCCAATTTGGAGTAATTTTAGTATTAGCATGGATGACTCACATATAACTTTAGCTTCTCAATATCTTAGCTTTCTATTATGACTCCGTGACAATTCACACCTAATTCATCTTGTCACCTATGTAAATGGCCATAGCCTGGATCTAATCACTTAAAACAGTTCCACATTGGAAACAGTGCTCAGCAATGTCTCCTTAAACACAGCTTCAAAGTTTTCAGTTCCCTCACTAACACTTTCTACCTTACTTTGCCTCTTGATCCTTCTCCCTAACTGCCAAATTCTACCTAAATTCATAGTTTCCCTTACTCAGCACAACCCTGAAATTCAAGATTCTAACCACCCTTTTACCCAAGTCCTTAGGACCTCCACCTAGCTGTTATCTGCTTATTCTAGAACTGAAGGGTACAGCCTCTGACCACTGGGTACTGCTAGAGAAGAGTCACACCACTAGGGACTGATGCTGTTGTAAAATACTCAGCAGCTTGAGCTTCCTAATGCTGTTTTTTAACTTAGCCTCCCTCTTGTTCTCCACAAAGACAAACTCCATGTTAGCATTATTACCTCCCACTGTTAATTGTGTCATGGGGCTTCTCAAAAACCACACAGACAATATTTGGCTTTGGATGGTTTTCCCCCCACCTTCCTGCTGCCACATTTCTTGGTTACCTAGAACCTGCATTTATCGTTCTCTTTGGCACTGCAATAACAGGGAAGTGTCTAGGCTACCTGCCCATATCTTGCTCATTTTTATCCTTTCTTCTTAAGCCAGTAATTTTTAGTTCCCCAGTTATCTCTAATTTATTACAACTCTTTCCTCCCCCTTATAACTAAGGGTCTGTAAGAACAGGCAGATGCCAGCCGTCTACACTTTTGGTTCATTTTTAAGCTGTTCAATGTATTATTTTCATTGACGTTATTAAGGCTCTCTTTTTTGCTATACACAATGTGCACTGTCACCAACATCATCTAACCTTAACAACAGGTCCTTTTTGGACCTTATGGCACTACAATTTCTTGGATTTTCCTACTGTACTTCTAGCCATGCCTTTATACTCATTTTTCTTGGTTGCTCATCTCTGTCCTAAATGATCCCCCGCACTCTCTCCCTCTCTCTCTCCAACTCCCTCTCTCTCCTTCTTTCTCCCTCTTCCTCTTTCTCTGTCTCCCTGTTATTGTATTATCTTATCCTTTCCATGCTTTTGACAGTTTTAGTATTGTTTTTATAGTTCTCCTCAGTAGTGTACATTTTGCCAAACCTTGTTATCTGAGCTCACTAATCACAAGTCACTAAGGCTCAGATCACAAGTCTGCCTCCAATATACTGAAATGTCCTCCATTCCTATTCAGGCCACCATATTGCTACTTTCAATTCTCTAATATCTCTTTCATATCAGTGGTTTAACCCCTCAGTCCATGCTTTCTTTCACAGCCAGAATGATTTTTCTCAGTGAAAATTCAACTATGCCATCGCCTTGCCAAACTCTCTTGAAAGGATCGCACTGACCTCTAAAGTCTTTAACTTGAGTTTAAAAAGCTCTTTACAATCTGTCTCCTGGGTCTCACTCCAACCTAATATTTCACAATAGTCCTCCTTGGAATTCTGTACAGTAGCCATGCTGAAGTAATTTCAGTTCCTGAGTACTTTCTGCTCTCTTTAGGATCTAGGCCTGAAAATACGGACTTCTCTCTGAATGACTATAACGTTCTTCCTCGAGTGAGCTCTACCTGTTTCTGGACCTAATAAGGTTTAGATAACACCAATTTCCATGAACATTCTCTAAATCCTCACTGAAGGAAGCTAGTGTCCATAGTGTGCCATTCTTTCAGTGCTACCAAACTAAATATGACAATCAAACTATCTATTCACTTGTCTTCAGTGCCTCAGCCTGGAAATGGAGACAATAATCACTGTTTATTTCAGTCAAGATTATAACCCTGATACTTATAATTGTAACATATTGATGGCTTTTATTTACATTTGTGTGAGTCCCCAGATTTTCATATATACTTTGGACATTCCTCATTATAATTCTTTTATGGTAGTGTGTGTGCCTATCTATTTCATTGACATATATCCTTAATGCATATTGACAAACAACATTACCCATAATTCATTTCATTGATACAATATCCAATACAATAACAAAAGTATCCTCTTCACACTTCAGTATTTTTACAAACACACATGATTTTTAAAAATAATCTAGCCAGGCATGGTCTTGCTGCCTTTAACCCCAAGGGACGGCTCGCTGAGTTTGAGACCATCTTGGTCTATAGAGCTAGTTCCAGGATAGCCAAGGATACATACAGAAACCCTGTCTGGAAAAACAAACAAACAAACAAAAGGGCGAGCCAATCATCTTTCTTCTATTATAATATCCATCTGAATGTTAGCATTAAAAATGACACATATCTCTGAACTTGGTTCTGATAACATTGCCATAATCCTCTAATACTAAATACCCTTTATAAAATGAAGATATAATGGGAAAGGGGGAGGTAATGTAGCCTTCACAAAGGTAAATGTGGGTGCAAATACTATTCATTGTAAAAGCAAAATGTATTAATATTTTATCTATTTAACAATAGTTGCTGACATGCAAAGATATAGTTCTTATCCAACAAAGTAGTCTAGGTAGATACTACGCCAAGCACTTTAAAGAATGAATTTTATCTGGCAAAATGACCTTGTGAAAAATCCCCAGGCCTCATTCTTTGAGCAAAGAAAAATGATCAAAGCCTTCAAATAGTGGCTCATACTTACAGCAAAGGGCCTTCTGGAGTCTTCTGAGCTTCATGGCAGTCCTATAAGCGGAGAACCTGACATTATTCAGGTCAGCTGAAGAAAAAAGGAGGAAAACAAAGGTCATTTGTTATTTCATCAGAAAGCACAGAGGAAATCCCTGATGACTTTCCAACAGCTACAAAAGTCACAATAATAGGCTAGAAAGAAACCTTGTGCTTATGTGCCAAGCTTTATAAGATAAAATTCTGTTCGTTTAGGGTTAAGGAAAAAAATCTTTGTGCCCTTCAACTATGAGTGAAGCTTAGGCCTGTGAAGGACTGCAGCAGCAGAGCCTGCAGGCCATTCATGCACTGCTAGCTCCCAAGAGCAAAAAGGAGGACAAGATGCTTTTCCTTTCTAGATTGTAATCTGGATGTACTATAGTAAACGTTCGCTGCACACGATTAAAGAAAAAAAAAGGAATATATTACTGAAATTGTTACAAGAACTGAAAACTCAAAAATCAGTATTACAACTTTCTCATTATAAAAGGGACATATGTTTACTGCAGAAAAGATAGAAATTAATTTCTAAAACTGAATAAATAAATCAAAACCACCCATAAATGCAGAGCACATACTGTTAGCAATCTTAGCATGTTTGTGTATTCTGTATTTGTATGTTTTAATACATGATTTTAAGTAAAACCAACTTCAACATTTTTTTCTTTATTTTTTTAAAAGTTGACCTATAGTACATAGTTGTCATGTACAATATGATGTCTGAAGTATAAAAGCTCATAATGCTATGGTTAAATTTAGTAATTAGCATCCATTCCCAAGCATCATTATTACTTTTGTAGTGAGAACACTTATTCTTTGTATTTCCAAGAACATAATATATCATCATTAATTATAGTCACAATACAATAGAATAATTTCTTTTAATTTTTTGAGAATTCTATGAGCACTCTATAGCATTTTTATGTCTCCTTTTTCTCCAAACCTTCCCATGTTTCCCCAAATTTCTCTCTCAAATATATGATCCTCTTAAATAATTTTTACAGAACAGATTTTTTGAACTTCTTCTAGCTAAATGTAATTTTGTAATCTTGAACTAGCAAGTAGCATTATATTCATTTTATTTATTATTTAAAACAGTATTAAATTTTAAATATATTTTAATCATATTATTCACCTCTCCCAAGTCCTTCTAGATCTTCTCCTCCTCTCCACCTACACATCTTTAAGTTCTTCCTCAAAAAGCAAAAACCCAATATAACAAGAACCCCCTCAAAGAAAATGAAGCCAAATAAAATAAAACCACACAAAAAGAAAAAAAAAGCCAGCAAACTATAACCAAATAAAAACACACAAATCAACCTGTGGAATCCATTATAAGTTTGTCAATTACTCCCAAGCATGAGGCCTGCCTGGAGTGGTTGATATACCCACTGTCACTCCATTGGAGAAAACTGATTCTCCCTCTCCCAGCAGGTATAAGTAACAGTTATTAACCTTCACCCTGCTGTCTAGGTTTTCATTAATCCATCCATTATTTTTAAAAATACAATAAAATCAAATACAATAAGATAAAACAAAAACTACTACATCAAAGTTGGACAAGACAGATCAACAAAAGAGAAAGAGCTCAAGAGGAGGCAAGAGAATCAGAAACCAACTCACTCAGGAATCCCACAGCAACACTAAATGTAAAGCTATAATATATACACAGAGGATCTGGTGCAGATGCAAGCAGGCTCTGTGCTTACTGCTTAAGTCTCTGTGAGTTCATATGAGCTTTGCTCAGTTGATTTGAGGGCTGTGTTTTCCTGGTGTTTTCTATCCCATCTGACTCTTACATTCTTTCTGCCTTCTCTTCTGGGGGTCTGGGGATTCTCTGAGCTCTGAGGGGAGGGATTTGATGGGGATATCTCATTTAGAGCTGTGTGTTCCAAGGTGTCTCTCTCTGTCTGTCCCTCCCTCCCTCCCCCCTTCTCCCCTCTCTGCATAGTATCTAGTTCTGGGTCTCTGTATTTGTTGTCATTTGCTGTGAAGATTAGCTTTATATTCTAAGGTATAATTCCTATATTCAGCATGGAGTGACAACAATTTAACCTATTGTTTTCTACAGCCACCTATCTGTAAGTCCCTAAAAGTCATCTAACAGGAGGCTATATTTGGACAATTCCTTTATTCAAGTCTGCACAAGCCTTATTAGTTATATTTCTTTTTTAGAGTTTCTAGGTATGTATGTTTCAGAAACTCAGTTCCAAAAAGCTTCTTGAAGAGACGAATCCTGCCACCTGTCCTATTTCTTAGCAACTTGATGTACAACTGCTCTCTGAAAGAACAGATCCAGTGCAGCCAGAGAACTGACTGACAGACCAAGTGAGTAAGTGAACAAAGGGGAGACAGCATAACTAGCAGTCACAGATAAATGCTATCCATAACACTAATTCTAGTGTGAGGAAACAGAAATACTTTAATCTCTATCTAAGTCACCTGGATCAACATTATTAACTCTATGGGCTTTGCAGAAACCAAAAATATAGGCCTACATTTAAATTAGAGAGAATAAGAGAGTATCTGTAAGTTACTTTAAATCATTCAGCATAATTTTTTTAAACTGGCAATACCAAATAATGACAGGAATATGGAACAACCAGAGTACTTACTCTGTTGGTGGGAACACAAAACAGTACAACTTTGAAGAGTTACATTAGCAGTTTCTTTATTTTTTCTTTAAAGGTTTATTTATTTTTATTTAATATGTATGAGTATTTTTCCTGCATATATGCCTGTGTATCACATGTGTATCTAGAGCCTACAGAGACCAGAATAGGATGTCAGATTCCTCAGAACTGGAGTTATGGGTGGTTGTGAGCCACCATGTAGGTGCTGAGAAATAAACTTAGGTCCTCTTCAAATGCAGCAAGTGCTCTTAACCTCTGAGCCATTCCACGAGACTCATATTAGGAGTTTCTTATGAAGTCAAACATACATATATCTTATGATCCATGTTCATAGATATTTACAGAAAAATTCATGTTCACATAAAGATTGGAACATGAATGTTTTATTTATGCTCTATTCATCACATCCCCAAACTGGAAACAAACCAACAGAATCACAAATAAACAACTTGTACTAGTCACAAAATAGACAGTGGCATACAATAAAAGGAAAATAACTACTGAGAATATAACAAAAATCAATCTGAAATCCATGCAACTGATTTTACATAAATAATTTACACAAAATTATACAACCTATGGTTAAATGGTAACCTATTGTAGTAGAGAAGTGGAAAATTGTACTCATAGGAACCCACAGATATGATCTAGGTGTTCATAGTATGTGGTGTAGTAGTTAGATGACTGTAAGTTTGCCAAAAATTATATACTTAGAATGGAAGTATTTTATGATGTTTAAATTATGCATTAATAATGTCAATTGTAATAGTTTAAAAAACCTTCATGTAGACTATATAACATGATGTATGAATGTGTTAGTTTATGCTACACTGTAGAGGTGGTCAGTTGTCTTAATCAGGAATGCATACTCCAGGGGTGGCTGGCTAGCAATTAATCAAATGCCTTACTCAAGAGGCAGCCACTGTAAACTTCTGCAGCTATATTTAGCTCCCATTATACCGGGGGATTTCATTAATTATCATCATTAATGTTAGATGGGCTAATATTCATATTAGTGGTAAGCAAATTATGATCAGTGTTGAAGAAGATTTAGAAATATTACCTGCCTTTATATTAACACGGTCAAAGACCATTCTAGCAGGTCTTACTTTTTAGAAATGGTACCCAAAGTTGGACTCAACACTGTCTAACTATGTCTCAATGGATTCTCAGTTGCCTGAGTCTTTACTGAGAGATCAATGATTTTTCAAATTTGAATATACCTAGAGAGCTACGTTTAAAACACATATTTCCCAGTCTCCCAGTCTAGACTTCCTGATTCCAAAGGTCTGGGATAGAGCTTAAGAATCTACATTTTTAACAAATTTCTAGGTACTGTTGATGCTGCTGGTTCATGTAAGAACCACTCACACTGTAAGAACCATTGTGTAGAAGGACTGTGGTCTACCAAAAGCACTCAAAACAGCACAGCTATAATTTGGCCAGGCTTATGGTACAAGCTGTAAAGGTTTGGTATTCAATGTCTAATGTTTCTATGTGGCAGTGCTTCTTTGAGCACCTGCTTTCATTTTAATCTGGCAGCCAAAACAGAAACAAAAAGGAAGCTGTCAGGTGCATTCTTATGATCCTTCATTCTCTCTACCCACATCATCATGATTTTCCCCCTTAGTCTCTTTTCCCCAGTCATCACTGTTTAACTTTGAAGGTGCTCTGATCTAGTATATAGTAAGAGTTATCTTGTGGCATTAAATAGATCCCCATCCTGCCTCCAGCACACTAAGCTCTTTTCTATATTTACTAGTATGATTCTTACACACCTATGATTGAGGCCCTCAACCTCTCTATAAAATTAGCTGTGGGAAGACACAGAAACATACTTTGGGTCAAATACAGGCCCTATTTCCCTTAAGAACAGCCAGTAACAGTTTGTAAGGCATGAGCCTCCAGTCCTAAATTTTCTTTTGTTCATTTGTTTATAAAAGTGTTACATGAGAGGTAACCATACATAATGTACATAATTGGTGCCAACCAATTATCTCAGTAGAAAACACTAGCACCCCACCCCCGTGTCTCCTAATCCTTCTTTTCAACTGACCCTCAACTTAGTGTCCTTCTTCATTCTTTCTATTGTACAATCAAAGACTGTCTCTTATGGTCCTAATTCCATTCCCTTTTCCAATTTTCCTGGATCTATTCAGGATTCCAAACAAAAGGGCCAAATGAGGTCAGACACTCCATCCAACTCTCACAATTCCTATCAAGAATTGGCATCTTCCAGAAGCTAGAGCTCCAACTGGGAGGGGCAAGGATGATAGGATTTATTTGGGGTGTGGATCATTGTGAGAAAGGATCAAGAGACAAGCATCTGGAACATTCCTGATCTAACAGTGCTTTCAGCTTCCCTAAAGCAGTTCTTCCAAGTCGTTCTAATTATGACACATCCTGCCTCTAGCTAATC